CAAAGCTGTCAATAAACTCGCACAATTTGATGAAAAGACTTGGACATATAAAACACCATCCATTGCATCATCTTTGGGAACACTTATAAAACAAATTGGGAAAATTTTAAGAAGTATGTGTATTAAGAAACAAGATTTTAACAGACAAACTGTGGTAGAAAATTTTTTGAAATTATTTGAAGAGGATTATCCTGTCACTGTAAATAAAATTGTATTTGAAACTCAAGGGCATCGAAAAAGGCAAAAAAATATTGTTTTGCCATCTATAAATGATATTAAGATATTCAATGCTTATCTTAAAACTGAACGCACAAAAGCTCTAGAATTTTTACAAACAAATGGTTTCTCAATTCAAGCATGGCGTATGCTAGCTGAAACAACATTAATATCGATTATGATATTTAATAAAAGGCGTGCTGGTGAACTAGAGCGTGTTTTAATTGAGAATTTAGAAAATTGTGCGGCAATTTCAAGAGAAGAAGCACCTGAATTATATAAATCTTTATCCAAATATGTAAGAATGACAATACGCGGTAAATTAGGAAGAACGGTTCCTGTGTTACTCCATGAAGAAGTATTAAAATGTATGCAAATGATCGTTAATTATCGTAAACATGCTGGTGTTCCCGAAAATAATCCTTATATTTTTGGTATATATACACCCGATAAAAAAAGATACATGTATTTGAGAGCATGTGTATTAATGCGAAAATATTCTAAAATTTCTGGGGCGAAAATGCCAGCTTCGTTACGAGGTACAATGTTGCGGAAACATATTGCTACAGTATGTATTTCATTAGATATATCTGAACATGAAGTGAATGATCTAGCTGATTTCATGGGCCATCACGAAAAGATACATAAATCGCACTATAGACAGTCAATCATAACAAAAGATTTGGCTATATCACGTTTACTCAAATACGCACAAGAAGAAGATACAACAGATGAAAGCGATAATGTTGATGAGGATGAGAATGAAAATAAAGATGATCCGACTAATGATAATAACTCAGATTTAAGTTTAAATACTTCTGATACTTCATCATTAACAAAAACAAGACAATCTAAACAGCTGCCTAGCAAAGAAAAAAATATCAATAATTATATAAATAATAATACAGAGAAAACAAAAGGTACGTTTGAATAATTTATTATTATTTATTATTATAATTATGTTAAATAGTACACATATTACTCTTTGTTAACAGTTCTTACAATAAATATAAAAGGCGATTTTAGGTAAATACTGTTTAAAATAATTATTAAATGGCAGATATTATAATATAAGAAAAAGAAAATGTCTATTATTGTTTTCTATATATTACAATTATGCAAAAGAAAAATATTTTTCAAGATTACTTTGGGTTTTTTTTTAAATAGTTATATTTTTTTAAATTCTTTCTCCTATCATTTAATGATTATCTCAACTAGCATTCATCTAAACATATATATTCTATATAAACATATTATACATAAATGTGAATTTTATCATTATTTCAGTAAACCGTTTGGCTTCTAAGAGGAAAATTAATCATAATATTGAGAATGTGACCGAATCAGATGATGAATGTAATACAGAATTAGATTTAAATATTTTATCATCAAAAAAGACGAAACAATCTGAACAGATGACTAGAGGAAAGAATAACGTAAATAGTAATACACAGAGAAAGAAAAAGAAAAGTAAGTTTAAATAATTTTTGGATTAAGTATACAAGTTGCTATTTATTAAATAACAAATTTCATAATAAATATACTAAATTAACATAACTTTATTATTATTTTAGCATCTCATTCTGCTTCTACAAGAAAAAGTACTCATAAGATCAGATGGACGGATGATGAACGCACAATAGTTTTATCTTCATTCCAAACTGCCATAACAAATAAAAAATTGCCATCTTTGCATGAAATTAACGAAATAAAAATCAAATATCCTGTATTAAAGACCCGCACAAGTGCTCAGATAAAAACTTGGTTACATAACCAAATAAGAACAAATATTTAAAACTATTATCGTTAAAATGTGTCGTTAAAATTGCTCTTGTCGTATATTCTATTCTGCTATTGTCGTATATATATTCTGCTATTGTCGTTTTGCAAGAAAAACATTTTATTACAGTTTGTGGTAAGTTTCTTAAATGTCTTAAAATTATATAACTCCTTTTTGGCTATCCTCTAATCACAGCAAAAAATGCTTTTTATTTCAGAAAACGAATCGTTCAAAATTGTGCAACGTTTTCGCCACAAATAC